CAGCCATGATAACTTGTAATAGCTATCTGTCGGCTACGATTTGTGTGCCATCGGTTTAGGCCATGACTGGGGTCATAACAGTTAATTTTTTTCTAATTTAATAATCCAGAAACGTGCTGTTTTTGACAAGTGGTTGTAAACAGCTGCTGGATTTATCTGTTGGATTCTTTTTTAAACTGTTAAAAATGCAGGATCACTTATCATAAAATGAGAAAGTTGCCGCCGAAAGCCTGCGATAAATCGGCAAAGAAAAAGCTGCCACAAAGGAAAAGATGCACACTGTTTATGAGAAGTAGCAGAAAAGAAAGGTGCATTCTGTTTGGCTATTCCTAGGAAGCAGAGACTGGTGGTGTAGTGGGTAACACGTCGCATCTGGATGTAAATGATGTGGTTCGATTCCCTCTCGGTCAATGGAATTTTTCGATAGGAGGCTCCATGCACCACTGTAGATTTGCGAAATAAATCCGTTGGCAGTCATCAGGGATCAAAATTTTCAATATTCCTCTTTCCGGAGGAGAATAATGTACTCAGTAGAATCCCGATGTGTAGCATATATTGCTAGCAGCAGCCATGCTAACGCCGTCGATGCTATCTTTTTTGTAAGTTAACTGGAAGCAGGGTGAAGGCAGTTTGACTCCATGGCATTCGCCATTACTAATATATTATCGAAATCGAATTTAACTTGGAGTTGGTAGTGTTGTCAGTGGGAAAAAGAAGTTAAACAATACCTCTGCTTTGGATATCTACAGGAATTGGAGAGCTATAGATATACAAAAATCTGGCTATTTTTTGCAGAAGAGATGTTTGCTGTAACTACGGATAGTTCGATGTGCGGTGCAAAAAATAGCGCGCGACCGGATTTGGTTGTAATTTTCCTGTCACAAGTTGAAAGTGAACTTGTTCAAGTGAATATTGTTGGCGATTGGACAAAGTATGAGGTTTTTGAAATAGCGCTTTTATTTTGTTCTTACGCATTTGGCTCGGTTTTGGCACTCCACAGACAGCCAAGAAGATTTGCTTTGAGAACAGTGCACAGAGATAAAACGATAGCTTACATTTCATTGGAATGAAAACGCTCTGGTTTTTAGCAGAAACGCCCTGTTTTTTTTGATAAAGAATTGAGAAAATTATTTATTATGTCTC